GATAATCAAAAAACCGTATTCTATTATTCAAAGTATCCAAAGAAAATAACTTTTCCGTGTATATAAAGTTATGTAAAATTTTAGCAATTTCGTATCGACAGATACCTTCAAAAATATCATGCATAACATCAAAACATATATTTTCAATGACATGAAAACTAGAAATTGTATTAAAAATACATTCCTCTTGGATACCATGAGCGTTTGTAGCACAATCAGCAGCATAATTTAAACGATTTCTTAATATTTTAGACTCTTCTGATACCTGGTTTTGTAGAATGATTTTATCAGCTAAACAAGCTCTACATGCATATGACGAATTAAAACTTTTTGGAAAACCAAAAATTGTATGGAGTCCTAAATTATCTCCTATAATTCCTGTTAAAGCAAAATATACTTTTTGTTGTTTATTATTTACATTTATAATTAAACCATTTGTTTCTAAATCTTTGATTTGATTTATTAGATTAAAAAATATAATTTTGTTTCCAAACTGTAAATGATCCTTCGTATCATGCATTTGAAGTACAAAAATATTTTCTAGAATACTTGAATATTCGATTGGAATACTAGGAATAGTACAATATATGGCACCAATTTTATGTATCCCACTATGGGATCCAAGAGGATTATTAATTTCGAAATCATCGAAATATAATAAAAGAGGCAAAACTAATTTTTCTGCAAACTGCTTTTCAATATGTTTCCATACTTCACCGTGAACAATAATAGAAGTTACGTTGCTATGTTTGTTTTCGCACATATGTGTCATTATCGTCTGAAAGACATTTGGCAACTGTAAAAATTTTGTTAAAAGAAGAGTTATGGGAACAATTTGTAAAACTCGATTAACTAAACCTATGCTTCTATGCATTTGAATACGTTTCGGATGTAATATTACGGCAATATCAACAGATTGTGGCATAATAAGATACCCACGTCGTATAAAGTACTGCAATGTTTGATGTTCGGTTTTGAATTCAGCAAAAGCATTTTGTAGAATTATGCACATATCTTTTAAGTTTGATGATACATTCCGTTTATTTTCCTGATATTCATATTTATGTTTAATAATTTCTATAGTTAATTTGTAAAGATCGTCTACATATTGTATTATTTTATGTGCAAGTGATCGTGATAAAGCAATATTAGAATATAATTTTGAAACAAATAAAGCAGTCCTTTTCATAACTATATCATCAAATTGTTCTAACGTTATTAATGGATCATTAATTAATTGTTCACAAGTTTTCGTGGTTAAGAATTCCTCAAAATCAGTGCATGTTTTAAATTGATCTGATTTAATGTCATTTGATTTAATAATGTCATGATATATAATATTATCATAACATAAATAAGATTCAGGTGCAATAGAAAAATTATTATTTTGATTATGCTTTTGGATTAAATGACGTTTAAATGAATATATATTTGTGAAGCTACGTATGCAATTTTGCTGCTTACATTTAAAAGTAGACGATGATGCACTATGTGCCAATTTTAAATGTGCTGCAAGAAATTTGATTGTCGGAGAATTCTTAACACAAAATGGACACTTATACATGTTATGGCAGAAATATTAAAATAAAATTTTATATATATAACTTTATAAAGAAACAAAAATTAAAATTTTTTGTTATAATATGTAACAATATAACAAACATGTAACAAATTTCGTACGTTTAAAATAATGTAATTAATCGTTTGTAGAATTAAATGTTTTAAAAGCATTGATAATTGGCATTACATACGAAATTTGTTTGTCATACTTTGTTGAAAACTTATAAAGACAAAGCTGCACGATATACCAGATGTGTTCACTTTCTGGCGGATAATTAACATCAAATACATGGAAGATTTTAAAACATAGATCAACTGCCGCTAGTGCCGTTGTAACTTGATATAATACCTTATCAATGCAAACATAGAATCCATTAATTTCTGCGAGAGTAACACCAACAACTATTATGTATGGCTGTATTGTCAATCCTAGACGTTGTGCTTTTTTTACTTTATCATCTTGAATGCGACTTATATCTCCAGGTATCTAAAATTGATTAATAATTTTTTCTATATTTATTTTATATTAATATATAAATTATTATTAATATAAATTAAAATAATATATAAATATGTAACATTTAATACCTTTGCATGTAATACAATGCTGTTTTTACATTCACTTATAGATGATTTGTAATGTTCTTGTTTTAAGCGAATTCTTCCTTTGGGAGGTATCAGATGAGGCAATAATAGAATTTGTACTATAACTTTAGCATCTATATAAAAATTAAAATTTGATAATTTAATGATTATATACACACACAAATACAAAAACGCACACATATAAACATACATATAAGCTATTATTTTTTTGTAAACTTACCATCTTTTACATTATCTATTTCAATCACAGAACGTAACTCATTTATTACTTTATCATCTTTAAAAAGACAAACTTCTTGAATCTTAGAAAAAAACTGAAACCAATTATTTATACAATCCTCTGATGTTAAATTAAGAAATGTAAAATCTTTATCGATCAAAGTATATGCTGTAGGATGCTTTAAAACTGGCCACTGAGAGAAAATTTCAGCTATGTTTTTATTTTGAGACGTTTGAATTTGATTCCGTCTATATGCTAAAGTTGCTTTCCAATGATTTTCAACTAATTGCCATGGTGACAAATTATTCTGAAGCCATAATATGCTTTCACGAATTGTAGAGTCATCTGCACA